TTCTGACTCACAGCAACCTCTATTGGGTTTCCCAGGCAGTAAATCGGAAGTAGATTGCCCAGTCTTCCTTCTGCAGAGTGGCTGGTGGGTTTGAACTGCCAACCTTCTGGTTAGTAGTCAAATGCCTTAGGTAGTACACCACCAGAGCTCCTTCCTAAGTCACCAGTTACTGATAATTCTGTGGTTAACTGACCTTCCACTGATTATAAAGTAACTTAAGTGGTTTTTGAAGATAAATTTAATTCTTTTCACACTTCTAATGGCTCAGTTGGATACTGTCTCTTAAACATAGTAATATAAATATTAGTATCTTGGCTAAAATGAATTATTGACAATTTTAATACATGTCGCACAGTACATATTAATACAGAAAAATACATGCTATCAGCAGCATAATGTTGACCATGTTCTAATCCATTCTACCTGCTCAAATGTTCATGCAAATAATTATGTATTTGTAATGCATCAGTGCTGTGGAGCACAAATCCAAGCCTTCTGAATAAATGACTTTCCTCTGAGGTTGTTTGCTGTTTGGAGTATGTGGTATATACATATTTAAATTGGCTTTGTATAGTGAGGCAGACTGCAACCTTCCAAATCACTTAAAAATGAACAAGTATGTTTAATTATTTGTCTCTCCTCCCAAAAGTAGGTATTTTATCACAAGAACTGAAGTTTACTGGTACCTCCCAAATAACAGTGATAAAGTATATATAAATCTTAAGCCCAGTGTTATCAGACCAGCAACTCTGATCACCCATTAAAATTCTTATTCGCTAACATTTTTCTTCTGTAACACACTTCAGGCTTTTTTTCTCCCATAAAAATCTGGAAGACAAATGTTTGGTAAGTTGTAGAAACAAATGAGTTAAGGCAAGTTTTAAAAAACCTAACAAGCAATTTTTGATCACATGAAAACGACTGCCTGTCATCACTCAGTAAACTTCAGCATTAGCCATTTAAAAACTACCAATGCCCTAAATAAGAGAATTTGCAAACTTATAGCATCTAAGGAACATCTAATTTCCTCATTTTTCCAAGGTAGGGTTACTTACAATGACATGGTACAAAATACGTGGACAATTTCTATTCTGAAGGTTATGAAACAGAAACAGTATTATGACTGTGTAATACTCATTGAAAGAGAACCTTCAGTTTCTATTCAGTATAAACTTAATATTCACTTCTTATTTCAAGACCCCTATAAAATTTTACAAATCAAATTTACAATGTATGCCTATACAATGGACAAAAAATAAAAAAAAAATCCTCCAATAGTAAATTAAGTTTTGACCTGTCAACCAACTTCATAACCTAAACTGTACAAAGAGAACCAAACATTGGATGAAAAAGAAAATTAGATCAAGTGAAAGTAATGACTCTACCAAACTAAAGAATCTATTTAATGTCATGTAAGAAGAGATGCAGTGTGCATATCATGAGTGAATCAGAAAGATTTGTTTCAAGCTGACTCTCTTTACTAGCTATAGACCTTAAGCATGTCTCTTCAACTTTTTTACATTCAGGTTTATCTGTCAAATGGAGATAGAAGTACCCAATTTGTAAGGTTGCTTTGGAATAAAATGAGATAATGTATGCAAAGGACGTGGTATAGTGCCAGGGATTTAAGTCAATAAATATAGCTGTAATTATTTTTATTATGTATTAAAATAAACTTTTTTTTTTTTTTTCTTACTGTTTTTACTTCATATAGAATTATTTTAACAATATGGCTGGATCTTTTCTTCCAAAGTACAGAACGTATTATAGAGCAGACCTTCTGAAGAAGATAAGTGGTAGTACAAGAACTACACAATATGCTTTGTAGTTCAAATTCTCCGTTAGAGATCAGAATTCAGCATGCTTCCAGGAAACAGCTCATACTTTTGAAAAAACAATGGGCAATGTGTGGGCAATACACAGACTATTTTTGCACTTAAAGTCTCTCAGATGTTTTCTTAGTCATCAACAAATTATGTGTTCAGTGAGCCCTACTAGTTCTCAGACAGTTTAGTTATTCCCAGGCACTACCTTATAAACAAGATCACCACTAAGGGGTTTCGTGGCATTGCAGAAGGCAAAATCATTTCACCTGGATACTTGTAAATAGTCACCATCATAGGTGAGAAACAGTGTTTTAAGGAAGCAGTAAACCATCCATTTGGAATTGATCTATTGACTGATAATTGAATTATTTCAATGTGGGCCAGAAAGTGAAATATTTAAAAGTGAAAGGGGAAATAAAACAGTCTAAAATATATCATAAATTAACCTATTTTAGAAGCTCTTTTTAAACAAGGAAGATCCTAGGAACTTGCAACCATGATCTTCAAAAAGAAGCCAATAATCATCGTGCAACAGTCAGTCACTTGTCTGAAGATTCACCCTGCAATTTTACAATTCTTTGTTAAGGTGACTCACTTACTCTGCTTGACTATCATTTTCAATATCACAGTTTACAGAAGCTATACTTTCTTTTTATGTGTTCTGTATTTCATTTTCTGTACACATAGAACACTGACTCTATGATATGTGAATATATTCCAGTTTTTGGGAAAATTGCAGGGTTTTAGATCATATTTTCAATGTTCAATACATTATTAAGTTTTTCACATTAGCTCATCCAGAACTGTGGAATATTACAGAGATTCTTCCTACTTAAATGTTGGTTAAAGTTAGTAATATACCCAAGCTCCATTATCCCTACCTGAAATTTTACAATGTGCATACTGAAAAACAATTTACTTAGTGATCATCTTGAGTCATAAATTGTGAGCAAAATTTTGGAATGGCTATAAACAGGAAAACTACTTTAACAATAAGAATACAAAGAATGCATATTGCTTCACAAAAGACCTATTTTTCCTTAGAGAAAAACAGTCTGTTTAGGTTAAATTTCTAATCCTGGTTATATAGTCAAATATTTTTCTTTAAGAGGAACCAAGGACTATCTTCAGGATTTAAATAAATATGATTTACAGAATTCAGTATGGATGTCCTTAAATATAAAAATGGAGTGAAATGGGGGGAAAAACAATTAGAGGGAATTTGTTTATTGAGCAATAATGTTAATAACACTTCTAAATTAAGTATTCACTTAAGAGTTTTTTTGTCACTGCCCTGTTAATGGACATTATGGAAAATATTGCACAGAACTCAAGCATGTGAGTAATAAATAATTAACAAAATATCTAAGCAACAATATATGCTTTACATTTTAAAAATGAATCCAAACAAAACAATTTGAAGCTCTTCTCTGATTTGAAAGTCTTAAAATGTTATCTCATGTTTTATTTCTTTGATTTTTTTTACAAATTGACACTGTTACAAAGAATTCAAATGGCCAGTAAAACTACTGCCTTAAAATTGTTGGCTTTAAGTAACAGAGGTATAATTTGAATACACATCAGAGCTTTCTAAAATGGCAATAGTGTACAAGCATGACTTTCCCTAGAATCCAAAACCTGTTCTGGCTCTCCTTTAGCTAAGGAATAGAAAACTAGGCAGCCTAGTTCTAAAGCTGCCATGGTTTCCTTGAACGCTTTGACAAAAGTTGGCATACTTCATTTTCCTTGCCTACCTTGATAACACTGGGCTAAAGAGAAAATGAAAACTGATTCAATAATAACGTAAATAGTAACTAGCTCTGGACCTGGAAGTTTGGTAAAGCTGATGATGATTCAGAAAGAGATCTCAGAAGATGAGCAGTTTTCCGAAATTTGGCCAAAAAGCCTACATTTGAAAAAAATATGTCAAGAATGAGTCAGACATTAAAGTTTAAGTGTTCCTAGAACACTATGGACAAGAACATAATGAAAGCTGAAACACTACATGTAGAATGCATTCTTGCAGAGCAAGTTTATGGAGTGTATAGAATCACAGCCTTTCTAAATTTCTACTTGACGTTTAAAATTCTGTAAGTGATTTCTTCTGTCACCACATTAAGCCAATTCAATTAACCACATCCAGCAGGAATCACTTCAGAAAGGCCTTGAGAAAAACAATCACAGAAACTACAGATGTGAAAAGGAACTAGCTCTGCAAGGCTCATCTCCAGGCAAAATGATGTTATCTATCAACTTCAAATTCCTCTTAAAATAGAAAACTACCTGCATGTTTAGCCATCCCATCTTACTCAAGCTTAGCATTAAGACAGAAATTTAAATAGCATTGTTGCTAAACAATAATATCTCATCCCATTTAGACTATATCTCACCTTTTCACTTCCCCTGTAATATTAAAATAATGAATAAATATGGTCCTTTAATTAATGTCCTTCTCAAGTGAAATATAAAATAAGGTAGTTTACTTATTTCTTGTTAGAGTGGCTTAAAATCTATTTACCAAATAAGAAATAGCAAACTTTTGTAAGTTTTACCCAGAAAGCAGCTGTATTCTGACCCACTATTAATATCTACATAAAATATTTCATTATTTTAATTTAGTTTATAATTTTTCTTAGAACAGTATTACTGTTGCACCTCAGAAAAAATTCAATCAACCAACTATAGAAATTATGCGAAACTGTTAACCCTTGGAAAGACACAAAAAATTCTTTAGGAAATCCTAAGATAAATTGCTTAACAATTACTAGTGCTGAAAAGGTCATTAAAAACTGGTAAATAATAAATGTGGTTTTGCTGTATTTCACCCATTAATGCAAAATGGGATAGTGATACCTCCAAGTAGAATATGTTAGAGAAGAAGAGCCAACAGTGCAACATTTCATATGCCTTCTGACACTAACATTTTCCAGGATGAACACACTGACATGTAGTTTCACAGAATTTGAAATCTGTAAGTTCAAGAACGGAATGGAAATTTAACGTAAGGGGAAAAAGAGAAATATGGCTAGTGGTGTCCAAATTTCAAATAAAATCTTAAGGGTAAATATGGCTGCTGTTTTCTTCCAAACAGTCATTATTATATAAAATGTTGGCTGTTTCACATGGAATCTTCAGTGCTTTCTATCAATCGAGGCCTACCAGAGTACAACACATTTCCCTTGTAAATTCAATCTCAGCTGAAATGTCGAGCCAGGCGGGCAGATCTATAGTCAGCACGAAGTTGTACGAAGGAGTGAAGTATGTTCTTGTCCAGATTAGCAAGCTGTTCTCCTGAGCAGACCTGCTTTAAATTATCTGGGGCAACTACCAGAAGATTGCAAAGTGCATGCAGAGTATCAAAAAGCTGTAATACCAGTGGAATCTGAAATGAGAAAAGAGAATAATAACATTGAAACAAAATAATTTCCAGTTTTCTAATTAATCTGTAGATTTTTTTCATTGACATTCTGTCAATCAGGATTTACTAGTGTGGGAGTTCGGCAGATTACACATTTTAAAAGCTCCTGAAGTTTTAAAACTCAAAAATTTCTTAAGTTACATTTACAAAGATTAAGTAATAGATACCTCAATTTTCTTTAATAACAATCATTTATACTTTTATAGACTAGGCCTAGTTATGACTAAAACAACATTTTTAAAAAATAATTTAAACCTTAGGGAAAAATGATCAGAGAGAGATACACATAAAGAAAAAACATATCATTTTACTGATGTGTAACATACATGGCATGAGCCTTGGAAGTCAGTAGGGCCATGTGAGCTATGGAATTAAAACAGGGTCTTGTCTAAGATAAAGCATGAAGCAAAAAATGTGTCAATATTGAAAATGTTATTGGAACAACACTTCTTCAAGTATGAACAGGTTAGAGCCATCTCGCTATCTCTAGGAGTTACAAATTTTCATTTTAAGTCAATGCAGATTTTTAACGGTCTTACTTATGTTTCTAAGCCTAATTTGCAGCAAGCTTGATATTTGTGTGTACATACCTTGAAGTCTTTGGCACACTTCCTGTATTCAGCTACATCACAAATGGCCAACATGCCACCCATACAGCTGTAGGAATATTGTTGAAGATGCTCATAAATAAGCCGATGAAAACGTACTCCAAGTTCCATCAAAACTGTATCCACATTCTTTCCATCCATGGAATTTTTAATCTTTTCCACTTGTTTTCTTACATAAGCACAAACTTTAACACAGGCCTGTAAAATTTTTTCTGTATTTATTATATAGAAATGTTTACCCGTCTAACTAAAGAGAAAATAGATGTAATTTTCCATCAATCTCTAGGCATTAAAAAAAAGACTTTAAGAGTATAGTAAGGTACAATGAAAATGTGTTAACCAAAATATTAACAAAGTAGATATTCTTACCAGCAAATTTAATCATTTTACTTACATTAGTATACTGAATCAAAACATTGTTTTCATCTTCTGGTTTAAAGTCTGTTTTCTTTTGCTCTGCAGCCAAGATATGCTTCATCTGTCCAATCATACAATTTAATGTTCTAGAGAATTGAGAACACAATGTATTTGATCCATTTAAGTTGTTTTATATTTTGTTTACATTATTTATACTAAGTTAAATTAATATAAATTTCGTATCACCCTAACATATTTTTGCTATTGGTAGACTCAGATTTTAGAAAAAGTAAATTCTAGGTCTTGATATCAAAGAGCTTGTAGTTTTATTATCCCCCTGCTCAAAAAAGAAGACAAAGTTTTGTCCAATATTTTATATTTAAGACCATGCTAAAGATCTTAGAAACCTGTCACTAATTTATTTTCTTAACATCTAAGGATCTTCAAAGGCAAAATTACATAGTGAGAATGCTTAGAAAGGTAGGAAAATAGAGGGCTTTTGAGCAATGGCAGATCTCACTGTCAAAGGACACACAAGAGGATGGACAAGGGACACCGAAGACCCAGGTGAGAAATGAGGGCACAGATCTGTAACAATGCTGATAATGTATGTGATATTTTCCAATAGCAACCTGCCATCCAGCTATGGAATAGAGACTCCACTGATGCAGAGTTTAAGATCTATAAGGCAGTTATAGTTGAAGAAAAATAGATTTTAAGGTACTTATGATTAAGTTATTCAAGAAACAGGCCAAGTGATCTAAACCCAATAATGAAGGAAGTAAAGCTAATAAAAGGGTAATACACTGGCAAAAGATGACGATAGCAAGGTCTTTGAGGCCTGCTGAGGTTGGACGGCTATGGAGAGTTGGAATAATAGGAGGTTGTGGCCAAAGTAGGATATTCAGACTCAAGCCTTTTATTACTAATCATAACAAAGTCCAGTGGGGCATGAGACTGGGTAGCTAAAGTGGAGATAATCAAGAAAATGAATGAGTTACATGCACCATGTGGAAATAACCTAAGGCTAAAAGAAAGGTTGTGAGCCTGGTGCCCAAATCTTCATTAAATGTAGCAGACTGACAAAATGATAGATAGACAACAGCAGTAAGAAAGGGAATATGACGGTGGAATTAGATTATGTGAGATTCAAAGGCAAAAAAGTTCTGGCGTAGTAATAAGTGAATACTGGTCAACATGTCAGCAGGGATGCAGGTGTACGCTAAGTGCACCTCATGACCTATCTACATGGATATGAGAGAAGCAGACGATCACCCTTACGGGTGCGCCAGAGATCGCTGTGCCCTCAATGTACTAACTACTGTAAAGGTTTGTAAACTATATAGAAAGATGGAAAAAAAGTGTACAATTTATAAAGAAGAAAACTAGGGAATAGATATTTCATGTATTTCTGAAAGCTTAATATATCCAACCTCCTCACCTCCCCCAAAATTATTTTCATGTATTTTTGAAGGGAAGCAAGAAGAAATGGACTTAAGTTTTTAATATTAAGGATTTTAAGTTAGGAATACACCTACTTCTTGGCAGTGATGATTATATTACCTGTTTATATACATTAAATGTATAAATATAATGCATTAAATGAAGTTGTATATATGTATAATCTAATGTTTCCTGACTTAAAAATAAAGGGAAAGACCAGTTTTTAGGACTGTTGTATGCATAAAATCTTTTAATAAACTAAATTAATTCTATATAATATCCTTATTTTTTCCAGTTTTATTCTGTTTTTCTTTCTCTTATTATTATATACTTTAAGGGAGTTCTCAACGTTGGTGCTAAAACCAATTTGGTAGGTGAGTTGCAAGTAATTTGTTACTACCAGAAAGTAAAAATTTACTTTTGTAAATTAGAGTGAATTCCAGGCTATCTTTATGACAGTACTGTCACTAACATACATTAAAATATGTTTTCTTGAGCAGAAGAGAAAGAAATACTCAAGTCTTAATAGCATGGGCTAATATTGTGCCAATTACTCAATTTCTTTAAGCCTTCACTCTCTCATCTGTAACATGGAAATAGTAGTTCCTAGCAAATGCATGAAATAATAAGGTTAAGGTCCTTGCGCTGTGACTGGCACAGAGAAAATGCTAATGAAATGTAGCTATTATCATCATCAATAAATACAAACTCACAAGTGTGTGCTACATATGTGACCACCATCTCAAAAAGATATAGACCCACTGCTCTATACCATGAAAAGGTAATTACAAGAAACATTACAAAAAAGTTGAGTGTAGATTTTGTACCCATTTAATAGAAGTTTTGAAAGACTACAATTATTAATTTTAAGTATTTTATACTTGAGCCTGAAAATTCTAAATAAAAGTGAAATCCTTTACGTTACATGCCAATTTTTTTAAAGCATTTAGAGTGTGAGTGAATAAGAGTGTGTGTGTGTGTGTGTGTGCATGTGTGTGTGTTGAGGGAGGCTTATAAAAAGTTTTTCAATTGACTCTAGTTTAAAAGTAAATAGAAACAAATTTACTTCCAGAAATAATAAACTCAGGATGCTAATAAAAATAACATTCTAATACAAAATGAAAGCTATATAAAAGTAAAATCAACTATTACAGCAGGCTTATGTAATTAAGACTGTTTTCCTTTAAAAATTGCTTTAATGCTGCTATGATAGCACTTTTACAATTAAAAAAAAAAATCCAAGAGAAAATATAAAACTAGCAACTTGCCTATCAATGCCAGTATCCAATTTCATCTCCATTTGTTCAATTATTTCTTTTTTCTTCTGAAGGCATTCAGATAACTTAGGAGAAGAGCTATTGAATATTTAAAGAAAAGAACCCACAATATTAAGAGTCTTATAAAAGTCTTCACATATATATTGTACACTTACACATTTATAAATACATCTACTCCTCACTTAACAACTTCATTAAATGCAATTGCTACTTCCCATTTACAAAAATCTACCATACAACTATTTTGCTCACTGATGATTTATGTCTGGCAGTAACGAATACTGAGATATGAGGTGACAGTAATGCTGGCTGTGGTGGTTAAGGTTACATGTCAACTTGGCCAGGCATGAATTTTAGTGGTTTGACAGTTAGGTAATGATGAAATATAACATTTACGTAATGATATAGCCATCCTCCGTTTTGTGATCTGATGTGATCAGCCTCCATTTTCACATAATGCTGATTTTAGCATAACGACTTTGTCTTTGGAACCTAACCATGTCAAATGAGGAGTGGGTATACAAATAAATAAATATAAAGTACTTCAACTTTTCCCCAAATCTAAGAAGCATGGAAGTGGTAATTGTTTAGTGTTTATTATGACCAATTCATTACAACAATCACATTAGGAACAACTAACCCATTTAAGAAAGAAAGAAGAGGAACATTAGATTGTTATTCTCATTTCTGAAGAGATATTCCTTCAGAATATAAATATTTAATTTTGAAATTCTGGAATTATTTGGTTTCGTTTATAACTAAGTACCTACTATGTTGTTGTGAAGTGCTATCATGTCTATTTCATTACAGACTGACCCATGTGACAGAGCAGAACTGCCCCACAGGATTTTCTAGGCTATAATTTTGTACAAGGATAGATCACCAGGTCTTTCTCCTGTGCGAGCCACCAGGTGGGGTTGAACTGCCAACCCTTCTGTCAGTAGCCAATCACTTAACCATTGCACCAACAAACCAAAACAAAAACTCACTGCCATTGATCAATTCTGACTCATAGTGACCCTCACACTGGGTTTCCAAGCCTGTAAATCTTTATGGAAGCAGACTGCCCCATCTTTCTTCCACAGAACAGATGGTGGGTTCAAATCACCGACCTTTGGTTTAGCAGCCAAATGCTGTAACCACTATACCATGAGAGCTCCTTATTGTACCACCAGTGCTCCTAAATACCTGGTATAATACTAAAAAAAGTCACAAAGTATCATTAGTCAAGAAAAAAAATAAATCATTCAGGTTAAAATTTGGAGGCTAACAGTCAATCCAACTGCATTTTATTGATCCAAACTGGTATCTGCCTTCTGAATGCTACATAAATGTCAAAAACACCCAACATATTAAGGGATATGTAACTTTAATAGTTATACAAATTCTTCACTATGTGACATAACAGCTCCATAAAAGGTAAAAATCTCCATGATTTCCTTTCAAAGTATACAATTTTGGAAAGTATGTTTTTACATAAACCAAAAATACCAAACTCACTGCCATTAAGTTGATTTGGACTCATAGTGACCCTCTTTGGGTTTCTGAGGTGGTAAATCTTTATGGAAGTAGATTGCCCAGTCTTCCTTCCACGGTATGGCTGGTGGGTTTGAACTGCCAATCGTCTGGTTAGCAAATGCCTTAAGCAATGTGCCACCAGAGCTCCTTATGTTCTTACATACACTATCTTATTTAATCCTCAAATGTTTTAAAAGTTCATGTAAACTGAAGTGAAGATATAAATCAAAGCTCATAAAATTTTTGTCATTTTTTCATTGTTAACAAGTAGGTAAAAGAAGACTGTAACTGTTGGATCTTTTGAAGGGTGTTAAATGTGCTTGGTTTCACTGAGTTAGAGCAGAGGTCCTCTTACATATCAGATTTTGGTTTATGACAGATTTGGTCTTTCCAATCACACCAAAATAAAACTGCAGTTGTTGTTGCTATTATGTGCCACAGAGTCGGACCCGATTCATAGTGATCCCTCCTTGGGTTTCCGAGGTGTTATCACTACAGAAGTAGATTGCCCAACCTTCCTTCCGAGGAGTGGCTAGTGGGTGTGAACCGCCAGCCTTCTGGTTAGCAGTCAAGTGCCTTAGGCACTACACTACCTACCAGGACACAAAAAGGCAAGGGAGAAGGAAAAGAATCTTGTTCTGTCTGAAGTTTTCATGAGCATGTTTTGCTTTTATAATTAACAAAAGGAATCTAGTATTAATCTTATAATAGTCATTGAAATACCAATGAAAAGCAGAGATTTTGACTAACCTTATTAGTGGCATAAGGTGATCATTAAATTGCTTGTCAAAAAGATGAAAAATAGTATTGGCCTGTTGCACAACATCCAAAAAATACAGATTTGCATTCTTAGAATCTGCAGAAGGAATTCCTGAAATTGGAAAGAAAAAAAGAAACATACACATGCATAAATATTCACACACACATAAATACAAGCAAGCCATAATATAAATATGTTAGAATCATACTGAAGAAATTCATTGTGGCAAAAGAAAAAAGAATTTGGCTTTCATACATACAACATGGATAAAAATTATGATTGTTTTAATAAATCAGCAATTATATTTTTGAGGAAAGAAGAGTAAAATTAAGGTGGTTAATATCTTAATAAAAATTGATTCAAAGTTTATTTTTATACCTAAATTGTCATGATCTACTCAGTTTTCATGATTTGCTTACTGACAAGCTAACTGGCCATCTTGGACTCTGCCTCTCTTTTACTTTTCCCATTCTTTGGTTCTCAGGGATCCATATAAACCACGAAAACGCCCACTATTTTTCTTACAGCCAGGTCTCATTATGTCATAATAATTAAAGGAATTTTCTTAGTTGTGTTCCTGGTTCATTTATTTATTCATTTATTCTATATATTGCTGCCCTAGGGATGTGCCCAAACTTAGCCTTGAATATTTCACTCACTGTGCTCTCCACTCTTTCCTCTAAAATGTTCAAAGTCTCTCACAACTCACAGAATAAACTCTTGATTTCAGTATTGTATCAAAGCATCCCACATTCTGACCTCTAGTTAGCTAAGCTCTCTAGATGTCAGTTTCTTCCTTTTTGTAAAAAAGCAATGAACAAACCCCAAGGTCTTTTACAGCTCTAGAGGTTTACATTTCTAATTAAAACGAAAGGCGTAACAGACTAGGAAAAATATTAACAGCAAATGAGAAAATGGAAGTGTAATAACTAGAATTCTTTTATAGGATGGTGATATTTCCAAAGTTTTAAAAACAGAAAATAAAGGTTTTTTTCTCACATAAAAGACAAAATTACCTATTTAAAGCTTCTAATACAAACTTTATATAAGAAAAAAATAAAACTAACAGATAGGTAGAAAATACTAATACTTTCCATTAACAAAAGAATGAAAATCAAGCCAGTATTTTTAACTACAAAGTATTTATAATTTTAAAAGATTTTCAATGGTGTACAGAAAAACTGGTACATTGATACCTGCCAGTACCAGTATAAATTGATTAAAAATTTATTAAAGAAAAAAAAAACTTTAGAAAGTTTCTAAGTATCAAGTTTTTTTTACAATTTTTATAACATATTTTAACTTGGTATTTTATCCAAAGGCAATAATTCAAAATCAAGAAAGCACTTGAAGCTCTATAATGTTCAGTGCAGCATTATATACCAAAAACGTGAAAGGAACCAACATGTCTAATAATAGGAGATGATAAACACTAGAATATATATGTATGACAGAACTTTATGCAAACATTAGATATTCTGACAATGGGTGCTAACTAAACTACAAAGACATTTCCTAAGCTCTTACAAATTGAGAATATTGATATTAAAATCAAAATGTTAAGTTGCCATACAAACTAAATTAACAAATCTTTCATACTGCACAGATTCAAATTGATATCTTTTGTTGATTATCTTATTTAATCTTCCTAACACTTTTTAGGTGAGTTTTATTACCTGAGTACAAATTACCACATTATGGACCATTAAGTCATGTGCAAATGGTAAATGTTAAATATATGATGTTAGAGGTCTGCTCCAATTAAGTAAAGAACAGTAGAATACAAATGCCTATCTCTATCAAGAGAGCAACTATGTAAAAACTGGGTGAAAATAAATCAATCACCAGTTGAGCCAAGAAAGTGAATTTCAGGTAATTTTCCTTTAATGTTGAAACCTTACAGAATGATGTTACATATAATCAACAAAGATTTTCTAAGCATCTACTATGTGCTTTCCAGGTGCTGTTGTTATTGTTGTTATGTGCTGTCGAGTCGGACCGACTCATAGCAACCCCTCCTTGGGTTGCCAAGGCAGCATCACTACAGAAGTAGATTGCCCAACCTTCCTTCCAAGGAGTGGCTGGTGGATTTGAACTGCTAGGTGCTATAATACAATAATAAATAAGATGTAAGATTCCTTGTATCTTACAAATATTACATAGAATTCATACATACTCTGTAGAATAGTCTCTCACTTCAGAGATCTCGGGTTCACACGGCTCAGGGAGACCTTCTCCAACTACGTCTAAAAAAGTCCCTGAAGCCCCAGTACTACCTCCTCATTACCATTTTCTGTCCCCTTACCTAGCTTTATTTTTCCTCATTGTACTTCCTATTCACCTGTTTACTGTATTTCATTACAACAATACAAGCTTGATGAGTGCAGGAAGCAGGTACAAAATAGTAAGTATGTGTTGAATGAATAAATTCTGGTGAGTGGAGACAGACAATTTACTGGAAAAAAAATTTACACTGTGGTAAGCGCTAGGAAAAAAGTTAATTTAGTGATGAGATAATGAGTAGTCTGGCTGTAAGAGAAAGACTACTTGAGCTAAAGTGATCAGTAAAGGCCTCTCTGAGAAGGTGACATCTGAGTAAAAGGTTGAAAAGTTAGCTGTGAGAGGAGCTGAGGGAAAAGGGTCTAAGGGATGGGAAAACACCAACTACAAAGAACCTGGGTGAGAAAAAAGATTGAAAAGCCAGAGTGGCTGGGGCAGTAAGGTACAATGTATTATGAAATGAGGATGAGTATGTAAGAGGCCAGATTGCAAAGGGCCTTGCAAACCATGCTGTTGTTTTTAGGCACTACTGAGTTAGCTCTGACTCACAGAGACCCTGTGTACTACAGAACGAAACACTGCCCAGTCCTGTGCCAGCCTCACAATCCTTGCTGTACTTGAGCCCATCACTGCAGCCACCGTGTCAATCCATCTCATTGAGGGCCTTCCCCTTTTCCACTGACCCTCCACTTTACCAAGAATGATATCCTTCTCCAGGGAATGGTCCCTTCTGGCCACATGACCAAAATAGGTGAGATGAAGTCTGGCCATTCTGGCTTCCAAGGAACATTCTGGCTGCACATCTTCCAGGACAGATTTGTTAGTATTTGACTGCTAACCATTCCTCGGAAGAAAGGTTGGGCCATCGACTTCTGTAGCGATACCACCTCAGAAACCCAAGGAGGGGTCGCTATGAGTCGGATACGACTCGATGGCAGTGAGTCTGGGTTTTCATATGGTACTTTCAGTATTTTTCACCAATACCAAAACTCAAAAGCATCAACTCTTCTTCAGTCCTCCTTATTCACTGGGCACCTTTCACATGCATATAAGGCTAATGAAAATATCATGGCTTAGGTGAGTATGCACCTTAGTCTTCAAAGAGATATCTTTGTACTTCAGTACTTTAAAGGGGTCTTTTGCAGATTTGTCCAGTGTAACACATCATCTGATTTCTTGATTGCTGCATTCCTGGGTGTTGATTGTGGATCCAAGTAATAGGAAATCTTTGACAGCTTCAATCTTTTCTCCATTTACCGTGTTTATTGGTCCAGTTGTGAGGATTTTTGTTTCCTATGTTGAGATGTAATCCATAATTAAGACTGTAGTCTTTAATATTCATCAGTAAATGCTGTAAGTCATCTTCACTTTCAGCAAGCAAGGTTGTGTCATCTGCATATCACAGGCTGTTAATGACTCTTCCTTCGATCCTGATGCCACTGATACTCTTCATCATCCTGATGTTGTTTCTTCATACAATCCACCTTCTCAGATTATTTACTCACCACACAGACTAAATAAGTATGGTGAAAGGATACAACCTTGACACACACCCTTTCTGATTTTAAACTATGAAGTATCCCCTTGCTTTGTTTGAACAATAGCTTCCTGGTCTATGAACAGGTTCCTCATGAGCACAATTAAGTATTCTGGAATTCCCATTCTTCTCAATGTTATTCATAATTTGTTATGATCCACACAAATGAATGCTTTTGCATAGTCAATAAAACACAAGTAAACATCTTTCTGGGATTCTTTGCTTTCAACCAAAATCAATCTGATATTAACAGTGATATGCCATGTTCTACATCCTCTTCTGAATCCAGCTTGCATTTCTAGAAGTTCTGTGTCAATAAACTGCTGTAACCAGTTTTGAATTATCTCCAACAAAATTTTACTTATGTGTGATATTAATGATATTGTTCAATAATTTCCACATTCTATTGGATTCGACAGCACCTAACAACAACACTGGATTACCTTTCTTAGAAGTGGGTACAAATAAGGACTTCATCCAGTCAGTTGGCCAGGTAGCCAACTAGAATTGCTCTCACCTTCATTTCTGCTCCCCTGACATTTTATAACTCATAGCATTATAATACATTCTGTCATACACAGTAGTGATTTATATGGCCTACCAAGCCTGGCTGGATGTAAACAATATGAGGGAATTGTGTCTTTTGTATAGTTTTCAGCACCTGACAAATCCTTGAATTACAGAAGCTCAAAAAGCATTATTGTACTGATCTGAATTCAAAATATCAAGATGATTATATATAAAATATTAGGCATATAGTTTAAACAAGCAGGATAAAAAGAATTTAACACAAAGTATAACACAAATACACTTACCAGCAAGTCCTGTTTCCAAAGCATAATCAATATGTTCAATACATAAAAACTCCACAAGAATGGTAAAAATTCTAAAGGCATTCCTTGGTAAATCAGAAGGATCAGAGAGCTTTAAAAACAAAAAACAAATACATCATTCTTCATGTTTACCTTTAAAAAAACTCACCTTTTTTTTTTAAAGCAATTTTGTGTAACACATAAATAGTACTTTAGGTATCAAAATAGCAACTCGCCTTCACACACCCTTTCAGGGTAATGCTTATTATCTGCTGTTTAAAGTTGGGAGTTGAAGAAGAAGTTCATAACCCAGTTTAAATCTCCACTGAATAGAAAACTAATCTAGTATCACTCAACTCTGTGGTCTTCTTAGTAACTAACTCCCTCAACTCTGACCCCTCATCAGTCTCTGCATTCCAATCCTTACCTCCCTCCTTTGCTCACTGATGCTCAGAACATTCCCATATCTTTTTTCACAAGCCATAAGGAATAAATTCAATTTCTCATTCTTCTTCTGTTTACATCCATACCCATGCATAATTGATAGAATAGGTACACAGAACATTGATAAGAATATATGAGACTTGACCACCACCATAAATCAACTGGACCTTACTGACATTTATACAGCCCTCTATCAAAAAACATCATAACACACATCTTTTCAAGTACATACAGAAGTTACCAACATGAACCATAATCAGGGCTTAAAAAAAGAAAAGTCTCAATAAATATAAAAAGAATTTGCATCACACAAAGTATGTTACCTGACAACTAAATCAAATTTTGATATCAGTAATCAAAAGATATCTGAAATTTCCCTGAAATATTTAGAAACTAAATAATGCACTTCTAAATCACTCTTGGGCCAAAAGAAAGGAGAAAAACAAAAAAGCTGGGGGTATTAAAAAGTATTTTGAACTAAATGAAATAAAACATAGCGTATCAAAATTTGTGGGATGTACCTAAAGTAGTACTTAGAGGGAAATTTATAGGACTAAAAGCCTGTATTTGAAAAAAAAAGGTCTCTAATGACCTCAGCTTCTACCTTAAAAAACTGACAAACAGGCAAATGAGACACAAGTCAGGAGAAAAAAGGAAATAATAAGACAAGAGTGGAAACAACAGAAAAACAACATGAAAAATTAATGAAACCAAAAGCTGGCTCTTTGGGAAGATCAGTAAAATTGATTAACTTCTAGCCAGATTAACCAAGGAAAAGAGAGAGAAAACATAAATTACTGGTATCAGGAATGAAGAAGGTGACATCATGAGAGATTCTATAGCTATTAAAAGGATAATAATAATATAAACAACTTTGACAATAAATTCAACAACTTTTATGAAATATGCAAATCCTTTAAGAAATACAAATGACCAAAGTTCACCTAAAAGGAAGCAGATAATCTGGATAGCCTTAAAGAAGTCGAATGTGTAGTTAAAAACCCTCACAAAGAAAACTGCAGGTTTAAGTGACTTTACTGGAAAGAAATAAACATTAAGGAAGAAATAATGCTAACTCTACACAAATTATTTCAAAAAACTGAAGAGAAGAAATACTTCCAAACTCAATTCTATGAAGCTAACATTACCCTGGTATCAAAAAGAGACAGAGACCATACAAGAAAAAAACACACAAAAAACTAGTCCAATACCCCTCATGAACACAGGTACAAAAATTCTTAATAAAATTTTATAAAAAATTAATCTAACAAAAATATTAATAGGATATTACATAATGACAAAGTAGGGTTTACCAAAGGAATATAATGTTAACATCTGAAAATCAATTTCACCATAGTAACTGAACATAAAGAAAGTATTTGACAAAATTTAACATCTAATCCTTATAAAAACACTCAAAAAACTAGAAATAAAATGATTTTCTCAAATGATAAAGAGCATGTATGAAAAACAATAGCTATCATCAAAACCCCGTGGAACACTTGTACTCTGACACACGGGGAATTGACTCATTTGCAACTGGTTTAGCATCATGATGAAATTCTGAATGCACTACCCCAAGATAAGGAATAATATAAGGTGTTTACTCACACAACTTCTATTCAGCATTACAATGGAAGTGCTAGCCAGTAGAATAAGAAAGAGGAAAATTACAGAATAAGTAATACTGCCTTTATTGGCAGATGGCATGATAGTCTATGGAGAAGATCCTATGGAATCTACAAAAAAGCTGCTAGAACCAATAAATGAGTTTAGTTAGGTTGCAGAGTACAAGACTAATAAGTGAGTTTACTTAGTTTACAGAGTATAAAAAAAATCAATTGTATGTTTATACAGTTTCTTCCCAGTTGCTGCTGAGTTGACTTCAACTCATGGCAACCCCACATGTGCCAGAGTAGCACTGTGCTGCAAAGGGTTTCCAAAGGATGCTTTTTTGGAAGTAGATAGCCAGGCCTTTTTTTGGAGATGCCTCTTGGGTGGACTCAAACTGCCAATCCTTGTTAGCAGCCAAGTGAATTAACCATTTGCAGTAACAATGAACTATCAGAAATAGAAAAAAAAAAAAAAAAAAAGATCTTATTTACAATAGCATTAAAAATATGAAATACTCAGAAAACAAATCCTGTATGCTGAAAATTACAAAACACTTCTAAGAAAAATTAATGGAGACCCCCAAAAATGGAGAGATAATACTGTTTTCATAGACTAGAAGAAGAGATATTTTTAAGATGTCCGTCTTCTAGGAACTCCCTCTTACCATCATCAGTGATTTACAGTCTAACATATTCCACACTGAACTGGAGACAGAATGATTATAATAAAGTTCCTATATACTAAGCTCATATATAAAGATATTGCATTTAGTGCCTTCAAACCAACTGACAACAGCTAAGCAATGGGTGCAGATAAAGAGGAAAACAAGTCTGGAGAATGTAACCCTGAGGCATATCACCATTTAGATGTCAGTAGGAAGAAGAGGGCTGGCAGTTCAAATCCACCAGCCACTCCTTGGAAGGAAGGTTGTGCGATCTACTTCCGCAGAGATACTGCCTTGGAAACCCAAGGACGGGTCGCTATGAGTGGAATCAACTCGACAGCAGTGAGTTTGGTTTGTTTGGGTCAGGAAGATGAGAAGCCTGGGTGATGTAGACAGTTAAAGTGCTCAACTGCTAATCAAAAGGCACTTAGTTACTTTTACTTCTCCACTAGGACAAACAATGCCACTGTGACTGTGAGACATGTCCTATATACAGGAGTCTCTCTGAGAAATTGCCAGATTCACTCTCCAAAGTAATTACACCAATTTTCACTCCCCTGTGTGAAATTCCTGTTGCTCCACATCCTTACCAACACTCTCAGTATCAACAGACCTAATTTTTGCCAACCTAATGAAAATGAGGTAGTGTTTCTGTATTTTAAGTTTAACTTCCCATATTAAGATAGATATCTTATTGGCAACTCACATTTCATGTAAATAGCTGACATGTATCCTTTCTGCTTGTATTTATATGAATAACTAGTTGCTATCAACTTGATTCCAACTCATAGTGATCCCATGGGCATTAGAGTAGAACTGTGTGCTCCACAGCGTTGTCAAAGGCTGACTTTTCAGAAGTAGAGGATAATGCTTTTCTTCCAAGGTACCTCTGGGTAGACATGAATCTCCAACCTATGTATAGTTTACATTTATTTACTGTTGCTCAATATAAATGTGTAAACCACACAAATAATAAAAATTTAAAAATTAAGACTACATCAACTCTCAGTTCTACTACTGAAGAGCTCTATATCCCAGTTTCTTCATCTGTAAAATAGCAATACTGATGAACATGCAGGGTTGTTATGATGACTAAATAATATATATACTCAAAGTGCTTAGAACAGTACCAGGAATACAGTGCTTGCTCTAAAATTATTAGCTATTATTTGTTTTAAATAACCTGCTCTTAGTTAGAGTGGCAACAAATACCCTTCTTGTAGACTGTTTACTTTGCTAAAAGTGTGTTTGCAGTAAAGAAATTCTAAAATTTAAAGGGTTAGTTTTTCATTCTTTCCCTATGATGTCTGTATTCTTAAAAGACATTGTTTTCCTGAACGCTTTTTTTTTTTTTTTTACAAAAAAGGACTAACCTTCCTTTATATTATATATCTTGATTTAATGTCTTATAGAATAAAAATTTTATATGCTCGATTTTAATTTTAAAATTACATTAAAATATGTTCCTAAATAATGTAAAAATAATGCTGTTGTAGCGTGGTGCCTAAGGCACTTGACTGCTACCAGAAAGCTGGCAGTTCAAACCCACCAGCCACTCCTCGGAAGGAAGATGGGGCAATCTACTTCCATAGTGATACTGCCTCGGAAACCCAAGGTGGGGTCGCTATGAGTTGGGTCCGACTCGATGACACATAACAAAAACAAAACAAAAAAAAATCCCATTTCTTTTTTTAAAGTACTGTGGTGGTTAAGTTTGTGTGTCAACTTGGCTAGGCCTGGTTGAGTGGATAAGCAGCTGGATGTAGTATTCCCCATGATGAGACTGGTAATCAACTCCATGGTGGTATCTACTGTGAGCAGCTGAGTAGCTGCTGCCTTTGGGTATGTGGTCTGCTTCCTGTATATAAGAAACAACTTTGGGAATGGTCTCAAGCATATGGCACACTTGAACCCTGCATGTAGCCATGTCATTGTTCAGCAGCTTGCCATGCTCTGCTGACCTTGGGACTTAAAATGGACTTAAGTTAATGGCCTGCTGTGTGGTTTGGTAACATCAGGACTGTGCCTTTTTACTTGTCAACCTTGGGTTTGTCAGTCTCAGCAGCCAGCAAGCTGTCTGAGTGAAGAAAAGCCTCTAGCTCCAGTGGGCTAGGAGCAGGAGGCAGAGCTGAACCCCAAGGTTGAGGGACTTTCACCCAGCCCCTAGAGCCTGGAACTTTGAACTTGAACTTAAAGCCTCAAAATTGTAAGAATAAACTCCTGTTTGTTCAAGTCGTCCCATTTGTGGTATATTCCTGTCAGAATGGCACTAGTACCAGAACAAGTATTAAAAAACAGTTGCTTCTAACCATAGAGTAGATGTTATTTCTTAGTTTAAACAAATTAAAAGATAACTATATACAACTCACCAACCACTCCTTGGAAGGAAGACCGGGCAATCTATTTCCGCAGAGATACTGCTTCAGAAACTCAAGAAGGGATCACTATGAGTTGAACTGACTCAAAGACAGTGAGTTTTATGTACAAATAAATTAAATCCATTTGTAATCACTCTTACCCTATGACATCTTTCAAAGGCTTGTTTAGTTTCTTGTAAAAGATTAACCACCACTTCTTGGGACAGAAAAGTTTCCCCGTGAGTATCAATACTTGGCCCCAGTGGTAAGTTGGTACGCTGCCGAATTCTTTCTTTCAAATCTTGAATACTAGCACATCATACATACAAATAAAAAAAAGAACACATTATTATACATAGATTTCAATTTCAAATGAACCAATAGCCAGGAAACTAAGTTCTAATTCTAGTAACTAGTTCTGTAAAATGAAACAAGTCTTGACCTCTGAAGACTTGTCATCTGAAAAAATGAATAGATTTAGAGAAAATGATCTCTCAAGTCCCTTTCAGTGCTACAAATATGACACTACAGCCAAAATCTCCTTGTGTATCTGGTTTCCTTGGGAAATGACATATTCCAAACAGGTTAATGTTCCAGATAATTAAATGGTCCTGTTTAAAAATAAAACTTCAAAATTTTAATTATTTTTAAATATCTTGAACTATTTAAACAATTTACTTATGTCTTCACTACTTTAAAATGTAGAAAACACAATTTAACCCTTTCTTAGTGACTAAGGGTTACTTATTATATGGTGGTATATAAAAGTTCACAAGTTTTTGCTCCTAAAATATATAGCTCCAGACTACCGTGAACTACTTTTTTAAAAATTCTTGATGTTCTTTAGTTTTCCCTTTCTTGCTACTGTCTTTCCATTGTTCTCTCTTACAAAGTTACAAAGTCAATTGTAACTTTTCCCTGATCATTATTTATGACAAACTGGAAGTAAGAACCTGATTAGGGTATGCATGTGTGTGGATTCTGGACTCTGACAATACGGTTCCACAGAAGTCACTCTGTCTCCTAGAATCAACTAGGTTCCAGAGGGTTGAGGTCTGCGTGACTGAAGTGCCACCAGTGCTGACAGCAAATCATTTTCTTCTGATACGTGTAAGAACACAGAATTTAAGGTAATACTTTAATAATTTTATGCCTATTAAAAAGTTCAATTCAGGGAACCCAAATTGTGAACTATTTGCTGTTTGCTTGTTTTCACACCTGCAACAAAAAAACTGACGTACTTTTCAGTCAATAACTTGGAATAATTTACTAATTCTAAAAAAAAAGAGAAAGAAACTATAAAATGTTTTATAATACTGGTATTCTGCTTGACATTGTAATCATGCCATTTTAGGTCATTTCAATATGTGGTTCAAAACACATGATTTGATCAATGGTGTGATCATCCTGCGTTAAGAGTTCTTCAAAGAATAGTCTAATGATAGTCAATATCTGACACGTTTATCCAAACAGAGTTCCAAATGTCTTTAGTTTTAATTATAACATTTAACAAAAAAAAACTCCACTCACCCTCCTGTGCCAATAGATCTCTTTTGATGGTTTTTTGAATCATAATAGCGCTGTAGGATCATTGCACTTCTGCTTTTCAAATAACCAGTCTCCACCTCAATATAGTTCTCCAAATAGGAAATGAAAATGGATTTGATAAGCTTAGACAAGAAAGTCTGTTTATCAGTACCTAAGTTAAATTCCATCAACTTGCTGGAAAGATTGGTGGTTCTTTTCATGGAAAAGAGGAAAAAAAAGATTAATGTATTTAGCTATAATAACAATACTAAGGAATATATATTTTTACAATGTGACTTTAATGACATGTTAAACCACTATTTCTTAAACCTTGAGAGGATACTTAGAATGCAGCAAGCAGCTCTATCAGGTTAAATATGTAAAGTAGAATGGACTACTTCAAAAAACATTATGGTTTTGATGACTGCCATAAAGCTCCGAGGGATGATCGAGGAGAGGAAACTGAGGCAATAAACTAGGGCAGAAACAGCAACAATGGCAGCAGGGCTTCTGGCTTCAAGGCCGCTCATCACATGCTGCCCACCTTCTTCTGTCTCTGTCCATGTGGACTTTCCTCAAATTTTCTACTTCCCACTGTTGAAGAAAGGGTCACAAGAATGTTGCTTTTGAGATAAACTTCCTGTTATATGTTACTTTTGAAAAAACTCCTCCCAGAATTGTAACACTAAAGAATAGCAATAGAGTTGGAAAAAGTGAAGGAAAAATAAAAGTCCAAATAAAGCTTGAGATATAGTATCTCTACGAGTAGCACTGGGAGCTCTGGTAGCATAGTGGCTAAGACATTTGCCTGCTAACCAGAGGGCTGGCGGTTCAAACCCACCAGCCACTCCTCGGAAGGAAGGTTGGGCAATCCTACTTCCGTAGTGATACTGCCTTGGAAACCCAAGGAGGGGTCACTGTGAGTCGGGTTTGACTCGAGGGCACATAACAACAACAACAACAATGAGTAGCACTGGCATTTATAAAAGGACAAGACAAACTCTCACATCAGATTTAAGGCTGAAATCATTGAAGAGTTTGTCATTTCCTTTCAAAATTTCTAAACTTTTAACTGCATCTACATGTAATTACTCTAGTTTTAAAGGGGGGGGGGGAGTTAAAGACCAGTGAACTAGCTTTAGTTTCTAATTAAAATCAAAAACAAAATTTTTGAGTCTTTATTTAAACAAGTAAACAGTCTTTTGTGTTCCATAACATAAAGTGTAACATCTAATTCCTCAATGCACTAAGAACGCTACACTTGTACAAGTTGATAAAACTAAGCATTTTTTAATGCTAAAAGGTTTACTGCTACTGACAATTATTCAAAAACACCTGAATACATGCCCATTTTCTATTTATTTAAGTCTAAGATCTATTATTCTTTTAAAAATGTACCTTGTATACAGATCATAGAGATTTTTGAGATATTGCTCTGCATCGAACTTTCTACATTCTTCTAACTGGTCTTTCACAAAACTCTAGAAAACAAACAAAAAAACCAACATTCTGTCAATTAAGAATATTAAGTTCTATAACTTACTTTTTTCCTCTAAAATGCTCCACATTCTTGACCTGTTCTGATTTAAAATCCAATTTAAAAGGCAATGCATAGCAGAGACCAAACACAAAAAGGAAAGAGGTTTTTATTTCTACTGCTTTACATATTTAATGGTAGATCTCTATGCATCTTGACAATATGTATAAAGAATTTAGAAATATCTTGTCTTTGGAAACCAGTTCATGAGATGCAGCAATAAAAACTGAGGCTACACCAATAGAATCAATTCCTTAGAAAAGCATTTCTCAAACCGTCTGGTTAACACTAGGGTCTTCTGAGACATTAGTAGACATTACTCTAAAATAGGGTTCCTTGGTCAGTAAATTTGGAAATACTGTACATTACACTCCTACTTCTAAAGAATCACAATACACATTAGTACCTTAAAAGACTATTAAAAGCCCGGAATTATTTTAAAAACACGTATTTAATGCTGCTTAATCCAGTAGTTAACACAGTTTAGGAAATGCTGCCTTAAAGTATAATACTGTAAGAATCAAGGTTGTAAAAATACCTGTGTTGGTTCTTTTTGTTTTCAAGTTCCCACCCACTGCCAATAAGTTGATTCTGACTCGTAGTGACCCCCCATAGGATAACTAAGACTGTAAATCTTTATGGAAGTAGATTGCTCATCTTCCTCCCATGAGTTTCCTGTTACAACTACATTACACAAAATTCTAAAGACTACACTTGAAATTCTTGTTCAATTTCACAAATGCCATCTCCTGAGATGGTCATGGGGAGGACAAAAAATAAATAAAACAAATCTAAGGTTACCCTGATACAATCTATTACTTTACTACTACTACTACTACTACTACTACTAGGAGCTCTGGTAGCATAGTGGCTAAGACACTTGCCTGCTAACCAGACGGCTAGCGGTTCAAACGCACCAGCCACTCCTCGGAAGGAAGGTTGGGCAATCCTACTTCCGTAGTGATACTGCCTCTGAAACCCAAGGAGGGGTCGCTATGAGTCAGGTTTGACTCGATGGCACATAACGACAACAACAACAACAACTACTACTACTACAACACAAATTTCCAACACATGCTCTGATGATATTTAATGATTAGCACCTTTTATTTGATTAATGTGGTAGTTAAGGTTGTGTGTCAACTTGGCTGGGCCTGGTTTTGAGTGGCTGGGCAGCTGATACATTTCTTCCCCATGATGAGACTGGTTGAATCTACTGGAGCAGGTGAGTAGCTGCCTTCGGGATGTTGTTTGCTTCCAGTATATAAGTAGCAGCTTTGAGGAAGGTCTCTAGCTTTTGGCACGACTGAATCCTGCAAGTTGCTGAGTTGTTGTTCAGCAGCCTGCCATGTTTCTGTCAATCTTGGGACTGCTGATGGACTTGAATTAGTGGCATGTCATACGGTTTGATAATTTTGGGACTGTGCCATTCTACTTGTTGACTTTGGGCTTCTCAGCCTCAGTAGCCAGTAACTAGCTGAGTGAAGAGACACCTGCAGCTCTAGTGGGCTAAGAGCAAGAGACAGAGCTGAAGCTCAAGGTCAAGGGGCCTTCACCCAGCCATTAGAACTGGTACTTTGAACTTGAACTTCTAGCCTCCTAAACAGTAAGAGAATAAATCTCCGTTTTTTTTAAAGCCACCCATTTGTTGTATTTTCTGTCACAGCGGCCATAAAGAACTGAAACAGTGAACAATGAGACATTTTATGACAATATGATATTGACATACTTCTTCCCTTATCTGGATAAACATATTAGTATTCCTAAAGTCATTACATTAGTAAACTAACTTTTTAAAAATGCTTAACATGTAAGGGGGGAAAAAACCAAACACATATTGTCCTAAGAGCTACTTTAATTTGTCATTGTTTAAAATTACCTGTAATTTGATTTCAAATACATTTTGAATGAGTTTCGCCAGTACTGTTTCTGGATTACTAAAAATATCTCCAACTTGTTTGTTTACCCGTTGGCAGAGTATTGCTGCATCTTCAAAGATATCATTTCTCAAGTAAGCACCCTAAAAGGCAGAGACATTTTACAAAGTGAATATACAGTTTTGCAATGGTTTTTAAAGTATAAATTAGCATTAAATAAAATCCAATAAAATATACTTTTATGTTACCTCCTGGCACTGCTTTATATAAACATCAACACAATGGGAATAACCCTACAAAAAGGAAAGAAACACACTGTTACTACTATCCAGCTTCAATATTAATAATTTCTATACAAAGAAATGTTATTTGTAATAAAATTATGCCTATGTCTCAGTGAATAGCCAAAAGTAATAGTTGTTAAATATAAATACAATTAATTATAATCAACCAATAACCTAAGTATCTTCACTTTCTATGATGAATTATTGGTTAGTTCATATCCTTGTTGGATGTTAGACTGAAAGAAGAAAAGTGAACAAGCTGAGTTCTTCACAGCAATTTTTGCCCTAAGATCATCTCAGATTCTCCTTTAACTCCAAAACATGCCTGCACATGCACACACAAAGATGTAAAGACTTAAAGAAACATTTCAAAGTTATTTGTCTTCCCTTGCTAGAATCTGGACAGAGCTGTGTTTAAACCTTGGATTTGATAATATGGAAATTTACATTAAAAATTGAATCCATGTTAACAAAATGCACACAACACAAATTAATTTGTAATATTAAGCTCACAGTAATGAGATTTTTTGCCTATTAACAAATCATATATAAAAACAAGGAAACTAAGCAAAATAAAGTACATTGTGGTCTCAAAGGCTATCCTCAATATTCATTCAGATATACAACTTAAATGCAAAGTCCAACGAACAGCTTCTCTTTCTCTAATCTAGCTGATCCAGAAATGAACAAACAGACTGAAGAAATGCACAATTTCTTTAAGCATGTGCTTTGCGGATATGTACTCCCACACAAATTCCCTAGTTCAAATTCCAGGAAGATAGTTCCATGATGATGGAGTCAAAATTCCTTTGTATTACTGAATGTAACCAGTCATATTCCACCTACCTCTCTCGTTCCTACATTCCAAATAGTTAACGTGAAAGCTTCTTGCTTTTGACCTATTTCTATCACATTTGATCAAAAAGGATGCATTAATAAACAAAATAGGTGCTTGAAAACTCTTGGCTCTATTTCCCACATCTTCCTACACTCTATTCTTCCCTCTAAAACACACACACCTATACTCATTTTCTCCCAAGTACATACTTCTCTTACCAAGCCTTATAGTTGAACATATATACTAATCAGATTTGATTTTTTCACACAAGTAAATATGACTTTATATATACTCTTTGCCTTGATGACCTTGATATATTGTTTGAGTATCTCTAAATTTGTGTTTCCTCCTACATCTGTCTTTGGCATCTCTATTGCCAGTCACTCTTCTCTCGTCATTCGCAGCACAGTACACCAATGGCCAAAACCAGTCCATTTTAGTTCACTAATGCCTAGGATATTGATCTTTATGCTTTCCATTTCATTTTTGACAACTTCCAATTTTCCTAGATTCATACTTTTGTACATTCCACTTTCTGATTATTAAAGGATGTTTGCAGTTGCTTCTTCCTATTTTGAGTTGTGCCCCGTTACCAAATGAAGGTCCTGATGTAACTCCATCCACGTCATTAAGACTGACTCTACCTTAAATGCTCAACGTCAAAGGCAGCTCTTCCCAAGTTGTATTTTGAGTGCCTTCCAACCTGAGGGGCTCATCTTCTGGCAATATATCAGACAGTGTTTCAGGACTATTCATTAACATTTTCCAATAATGTATCTGACAGTGTTTCACTGCTATTCTGAAGACTTCACTGGCCAGTTTCTTCAGAAGTGGATGGCCCTGTCCTTCTTCCCAGTCTCTCTCAGGCTGGGAGCTCTGCTGAAACCTGTCCACAATGCGTGACCCTGCTGGTATTTGAAATACCACTGAAATAGCCTCCAGCCTCATGACACACAAACCATCACAGTACGACAAACTGATAGATGAGACTACAAGAGACAGAATTTATATAATCTTCCTCGCCTTAAAAACTGGTTCTCACTTTTAGTTTTTTACTTACCTTAAAATGAAGCAGAACTGCGGCTACTTCTCGCATTCTGGAGATCTCAGCTCTCCTTTGAGCACTGGTGAACTCCTGAATGAGCTGGCATTCCAAATCATGGTATTTACCTGAAAAGAAAATGGAAGTCATTTGGCTACAATGAGACAAAGTATCCAGTGTATTTACAGTATCGGAATTATTTACAAATACGGTAACTATGGACCTCCCTCCAGTAATATACTTAACTAACTCTAACTTACTGCTGCTGAGTCGATCCAACTCATAGCAACCCCTCCTTGGGTTTCCGAGGCAGTAGCTCTACAGAAGTAGATTGCCCAGTCTTCCTTCTGAGGAGTGGCTGGTGGATTTGACCCACCAGCCTTCTGATTGGCAGTCAAATGCCTTAGGCACTATGCCAGCAGAGCATCCTATAATATACTATGGTATATAAATCTATGTTTTCAAAACACAAAAATCTTCCCAATTGATAAAATAGTTGAGCTCTCCCAAATTTGGCCTATTTACTGCTATTACTTACACTAACAGATGACTGGAAAAAAATTCAGATGTCATTTCTGAAAGCAACAGGTAGAAAAAATTTTAAACATGAAGCTATGGAAAGGGCAAGGATGATTATGGAACTCTTTATTAGAGTTCTAAAGCCCCTGCCATGAATAATGTTAGATTGAAGCGCCAATTTTGTTTGAAGGTAATATATGGTATTTGATTCACTATATTTTTGAATGTAGTATGGTTCTGAATGAACACTTGACCCTTGGACTGACTCAAAGTGATCAATACCATTCCCAGGAAGTCTAACTATCCATGTTATCTTTACTCTTCTATGAATCTCTATGGAAGAGCCTCCCAAACAGTGATACAGGATATACCACAAAGCCTTCAAACAGTGGTTTTTCCAGAAACTTAGAATGATTTAGCCTAAAATATAATACCATGATTGCCAAAAACCAAACCAGTCATGAAAGGAGTTTAACATTACTGAAATGATCACATAATCTGAGCTTTAAAAAAAGAACCTCACAAATGTATGGATAAAAAAATAATATCTAAGCTAAACTGTTAAAGTAGAAAAGTAAGGTATAAACCTATTTATATAATATGCATGCTACCAATTATTTTATACATACATATACATACATATATATATAAAGACATATATATATACACACACACACACACACACACACAGTGATTTGGGTGAAAATTTACAGAACAAATTCATTTTCCATACAGCAGTTCACATACACTTTGTCTCATGACATTCACCACAATTTACCACAATGCAATAGCTCCCCTCCCACTTCTTCCCTATAGTTACCTCTTCCCTGTGTCCATCCCTCCATGCACTCCTGCCCCCTGAGCCCTCTGTGCATAAGCAGCCCTTCTTTCTTCCATGATTGTTCTCTCCAAGCAGTGTATCTACCTTGGGTAAATGTTTAACTCATATGCCTATCTTTTGCTTGGCTGGAAGCCACAGGTGTGGGTTCAATTCCAGACCTGAAGGTCAGCCAGGGGCCATAGTCTCAGTGGTTCCACCAGGCTCTATCAGACCAGCAAAACTGGTCCCCCGCCCCTTTTTTTCCTCCAAATGATTTTGAGTTTTGTTCCACATTGTACTCCCTCTCTATCAAGGGTCTCCTACATAGATCCCCTTCCAAGTGGATGACAGTGGTAGCCAGGCACCACCTAGTTCTTCTGGTCTCATAGTCGTATAGGCTGCAGATCGCATGGTGTACCAGTCACTAGGACTAATCATTCCATGAATTTTTGGTTTTCTTCATTCTTCTTTGCTCTGCACGAGGAGAGACCCATCGTTGCATCTAGATGGCACCTTGCTAGCTTTTAAGATCCCAGTTGCTACTCGCCAAAGTAGGAAGTGGAACAATGTTTTGTATAGTATGTTATGCCAATTGAGCTTGATGTCCCTTGAGACTATGGTCCCGAGCCCATAGGTTCAACTACTCAGTCCCTCTGGTAGCTGGCTGTGACCAAGCAGTAACTACAACCTTGTCTCTTGTCAGCTCTACGATACACCTGGGAATTCTGATCATTCACATAAACTTATAGGACCATTGTCTGCCAACCCTATACATGTTCTTGGATACACTCCCCACTTCATAGACATACCTAATAGTTCAGCCTGTCCACCCATCTATCCACCCATATACATGTTTGTCTTCACTGACAATGCAGTACTGTATGTGCAAAAGGGTTCATCTTTGTTGTCTGTACCTCCCATGTACCTCTCTCTGTCTTTCTCTTCCTCAATGTCACCATATTGGTGACTCACATTTGCTACCAATTATTTTTAAATAAATAGGGATGTGTGTGTGTGTGTGTGTGTGTGTGTGTGTGTGGTTTCAGGGAGGGAAATCAAACTCGCAGACAGGGTCACGGAATTACAATGTTTACATTATCTCCCTTTTCACTATTTGTTTTCTTCTGTTACACAAGTAATAATACCTATTCAAAATCTTTTTAGAAATAGAACCCCACTTACTTGCAATTTTGGATTTTACTTCCGAAAATCTGAAAGATAAAAAGAAGATGAGCAGGTTCATTAGTTGTTAAAAATGTACCACTGTAATGCAAAGTGTGAACAAAAGGGGAAACTGGGCGCAGGATATACAGACTCTTCATGCTAGGTTTGCAACTCTGTAAATCTAAAACTATGGAAGTCAAAAAGATTATTTAAAAAAGAAAGAAAGAAAAGGACAAAAACAAAGGAATGTTTGCCAGGTGATAAAATTGAATTTGGACAATTTAGAGGGATAGCTGTTCTCACTTAGGAAATTCAGACTGAATCCCCAATTCTCTTGCTAAAGAAGGAGCTATAACATGAGGAGTTCTGCATGAGGCACCTAACAACTCAGCCAGTATCAAAACTATTGCCCCGATTCACGTTCACTGACATTTTAAATTTGCTTATTTGTCTGTTTCAATTCTCCATTGGGATTTTAAAAAATAAAGTTCCTTATCATTTAAAAGAAAAACAATTATGAAATAAGTGCATGTCAGTGAATTATTTTTCAACTAGAAAGAGACTATAAAAAGAACGCAATGAGTTTAGCAGAAAACTATTTAATCTTTATAAATTCAAACTAAAACACAAGTTAACTGTACTCTACAACTTTTTCAAATATCAAGTATCAAGGGGGGAAAGCATAACATGGAAAACTTATGCTGCAAAAATCTATGCAATCAGTTTGAACAGAGAGAAGAGTGATTGGCAATAGACATGCCAAAGAGAGATGAAGGAAGAAATAAAAATTTAGAGTTATTCAAACAAGATATATATCAAGGTCATGTGGGGCAAAGAATGTATATAAAGCCATATTCACTTGTGTGAAAAATCAAATCTGATTAGGATATATACTCAACTCCAAGGCGTGGTAATAGAATTATATACCTGGGAGAAAATGAGTATAGGTGTGCCTGTTTTGGAGGGAAGAATAGTGTCAAAAGAGGTGGGAGATAGAGCCAACAGTTCTCAAGCACCTATTCTGAGTCAAGCATTTTACCCATTTAAGTAAAGAGTCCAACAATGAAATAAAGTGAAAGAGAAGTTTTGGTAGATATTTAAGAATCATTTCAATATTAAGTTAAATTCGTAATGCTGGACAAGTATGAGATCATTAATAATAGCTAAATAGTGACAGAATATCATTACTGTTAATCCTTTATGGTGGTACAAAGAATTGAGAGAGATTAAGGGATATAATTTTTGTTTGGAATTCACTCTTACTGTATGTTTGCAAGAAAATGATTAAGTCTTAAGTCCATCTATCCGTGCATCCACTGCTGTCAAGTCAATTCTGATACATAGTGACTGTATAGGTCAGAGCAGAGCTGCCCCATGGGGTTTCCAAGGCTGTAATTTTTACAGGAGACTGTTTACATCTTTTTCCCACAGAGTGGTTGATGGGTTTGAACCACTGACTTAACCACTGCACCACTAGGGTGTCTTTTAAGACTACTACTACTATACTATTTTTAATCTGTCCCTGAAGATCTTCAAATATCAAAAGAATAACATATGTTGCCGAAGGAAAAACTCATCTCTTTCAAGTATTCAAATGGGGGGACTATTACTATTAAGATTTTATTATAGTCTGATATTCTCTGGACTAGAAGCTATCATGAAAAAATTTCCTTCTAAGTAAACAGTTTCTTTTAGGATGAAACTGTTAATACCTAATTTAGCAATGGCCCTGGGGTCTTGAGTCTAAAACAGGGATTCCTAACCTGAAGTCCCTATAGAGGGATCTATGAGTAGCTGGCAGATTTAAAACTCCATGGAATTGTATACAAATACTTGTACACAAAAATTCTTAATTTTTTGAAGAAAGTTGTAACTTTCATCAGATTTTCAAAGGTGTCCAAAATCTCAAAAAGCTTAAAAACGATCATCTCCTGACAGAAAAAGTAGTTGGTCTTATGCGTAAAGTTTCCATGTCCCCTAATATCCTAAGTTCTCAAAGCCCCAAAAATAAAAATACAATCAATGTCACAAAGCAAAATGTGTATGAACTGTTGAATGGAAAATTAATTTGCTTTGTCAACTTTCAATCAAATCAATAGTAAGTCAAAAAAACAAAATATGTCTGCCTTGAGCATTATGCTCTTTTAAGATCTATGTTGTTGTTGTTATGTCCATCGAGTCGGACCTGATTCATAGCGACCCTCCTTGGGTTTCCGAGGTAGTATCACTACGGAAAGAGATTGCCCAACCTTCCTTCCAAGGAGTGGCTGGTGGGTTTGAACCGCCAGGCTTCTGGTTAGCAGTCAAGTGCCTTAGCCACTATGCTACCAGATGTCCTTTTAAGATTGATATGGCATCAAATTGATAATAACAACTCAAAAGATTAGATTAGGGACCTTAGGGGGCAGTGAATTTATGTTAATGGAGGAGGAACAACTCAGAAAAAAAAAAAGAATGGGACTGGTTATACAACTCAAAGAATGTAATCAATGTCACTAAATGGTACATGTAAAAACTCTCAAATTGCCGTATGTTTTGCTGTGTATATTCTCAACGTCAATATAAACAAAATTGTACGCATTAAAAACCTCCTTTTTTTCCAGAAAAAAACAAGATTTAAGTTATTTCAAAGCATATCATTAAAATTAGGTATTAAGAATAATTATCTTTTCAATCAACTATTTTATACTGTACCATGTACAAAAGAGATATTCAGTAAATTCTTGTTGAATTAATAAACAAGGAAAATCATACAGGGAAAAATATAATTTTATTCTATATATTACACCATACATCCACATTAGCTCTTAAGAAATAAACTTGCCTATCAAAAGGTAACTCCTGGGCAATTAAGTGCAACTTCTGAATGATGTCTGCTGCCTCCTTTATCTATTAAAAATAAATAAAAATAATAATTAAGAAAAAAATTCTTATAGTAAAGAAATTATACATAGGCACATATAAAATTGGAAACAGTAATATGTTCCTATGTATCCCCAGAGTCCTTGCCCCAAACAATTTCCCTTCAAAAAATGGACAACAAACTAAACCTTGTGAACAACAGGAATACATTTGGGGTACCATCAATCATGAATCAAGAAAAATTTCTCTTTTTGGTACTGAGATTTTGTGATTTTATGATGCCATAATCCCCTTCTAAGTGAAACTTGCAGTTCAAGTTCACTGTGAAGAAATTCAAATTAATGCCTGCTGAAAGCAAAAGTGTAAGTTTATATTCTGAGTTTATAAACCCAAAAAGGATAAACAAGATTCATGGAAATGATTTTGTTCATATTGCTTCATTATAACCCATTTTAATCTAAATGAACAAAAGAAAATAGAGTCCTTGTTACTTAAGAAACATGTAAATTTGTAACACTTGTCCTGAAAGCAAAGAAAAAGTTTGATATAAAGTCTCCTGAATGAAATACAGCATAGAAATGTGTGCATTTATTCAAGTTGGAGAAATAAAGGGCTTAGGAAGGAGTTCTAAAATTATGAAAATGTAGATATTTGGCTGTTCTTACACCACAGGGTAGGAGAGTTATATGTTTACTTTTTCATCAAATCTCTAATTAGTACTAAGTTTTATGTTACCATAAACTAAACGTTTTATAGCTCAATAACTGAATTTTCTTTTATACTAAAAAAGAAAAAAAAAGTGAAGAGTGAGCTAAAAATATTAATATGGTTTGTGCTAAGTACTCAACCCGGCAAGCAACTGTGGGTAACAGCAGCAGAGCCTCTTGCCACTTCTTGCTCCAAATGACAGTGAGTATAGCATATCTGCTTTCGTCACCTCTTCTCTCCTAGTCAGCATGTCACTGTCATTCCATCCTGCTGCATATGGGCGTAAGCGCTCACTGCAGCATCATATTTTACCAGGCCACTGACTTGTATTAGCAATGTCCATCATTTTCTCCTCACAATTAACTCTTTCAAAAACAACCTGCCTAACACACAGCCAGTTTTGTTTCTATCAGGAGCCTTTCCTGATTTTTTAAGAGGTTTGCAGTTAGTATGAGCTGTTTGCAAACTTTGTTTACTATAATAAGAAGTGTAGCAGTAAATAACATTTGTTTTTCTTGAATTCCCTCAGTTAATTATTTTGTAAAATTGTTTAAAGCACAAGTAACCCTCAAAGTCATCCATCAGTTAAAAACATACTAATGCAGTAAGTACAGAACCTGTCAAGGCTACAATCTAATAATTTGCTTGCTGTTGTTACTGGTTGTTATGGAGGAGATTCCAATTCTTGAAGACACCATGTGTGCAAAGTAAAACTGTTTGAGAATTTTCAAGACTGTGTGTGGCCTTGCAGAAGCAGACTGCCAGGCCTGTCTTGAAAGGCACCTCTATGTGGGTTCAAACCATCAATCCTTCAGCATTTGACCATTTGTGCCCTGTATTTGCTTACATTTGTTATTGATTATTAGGCTGACATGAGAGATCACACTTGCTAACAATGTTAAAAATAATCAGGGTCCTCAGGCATTATCTACTTGAAGAAAAAAGTACCCAGTACCAGTTACCTATTTAGTTGCAACTCAAGGAAATCATTTAGAGTCTAGAGAAAAAAAAAAATATAAATGGACTGATTATAGCTTATTTTTAACCTGATTTGTATTTGTCATGTTTTATATCATGATATTATGTTCTTTACCTTTTCTTTAAATATTTTAATAATCCTTAAGTAATTGTGTAGCTCATAGTGTGACTACTGTCTCTTAATATTTGAAGTTTTCATTCAAAGAAAAAGTATTTCTGTTATTAGTTCTTAGAAAAAGTGTTATTTTAAGATAAACAACCAACATACACTGTAAGGACAGAGTGAAGAGGGAGTACATAACATGGCATAAAATACATTTTGCTCAGGGGAGATCAAATGACTACAGGACAGGAAGAAAAAAGAAGATGTGTTCATACCCCATTCTAATCCCTGCCCCCCAAATCACATACTTTTCTACCAATTTAGGTGATTTTCCTTTTCTTTCTACTGGGAAGGTAAAAGGCACACAGAGTTTAGAATCTAAGAAAGCTAGAAGTTCATCTAGTAATTGGCAGTCTAGTACCATATGAATTTCTAAGTGGGGTTAACTGTGATAGTACCAGGAAAATAGTAATAATGTATAATTAGCAAATGTTGTTGTTGTTGTTGTTATGTGCCTTTGAGTCAGACTCAACTCACAGCGACCCCTCCTTGGGTTTCCGAGGAAGTATCACTACAGAAGTAGATTGCCCAACCTTCCTTCGAGGAGTGGCTGGTGGGTTTGAACTGCCAGCCTTCTGGTTAACAGTCAAGTGCCTTAGGCACTATGCTATCAGAGCTCCTAATTAGCAAATGGTAACCCAAAATTTGTGGGGGAGATGAGATGAAAATAAGGCAACGGGGAAAGGAGGATAAAATAAGGAACAAAGAAGGCAAAAAGAAAAAAGGATAGAGAAGAAAGTGAAGTAAAGAAAAAAAGTACGAGGAGTCAGTTTAAACACTGTTAGTCCATATAGTTCCTCAAAACTTATGTTGTTGTTGTTGTCATGTGCCGTCGAGTCAAACCCGACTCATAGCGACCCCTCTTTGGGTTTCTGAGGCAGTATCACTGCGGAAGTAGATTGCCCCATCTTCCTTCTGAGGAGTGGCTGGTGGGTTTGAACCGCCAGCCTTCTGGTTAGCAGTCAAGTGCCTTAGCCACTATGCTACCAGAGCTCCTTCAAAAATTATAGATGGTTAAATAACAAAATAAATGAACTAATAACAGAAATATTTTTTCTTTCAACAAAAATGTCAAATATTAAGAGACAATAGTAACACTATGAGCTATACAATTACTTGAGGATTATTAAAATATTTAAAGAATAAGAATAAGTAAAGAACATAATATCATGATGTAAAACATCACAAATACAAATCAGGTTAAAAATGATCAGTCCATTTATATTTTATTTTTCTCTGGACTCTAAATGACTGCCTTGAGCTGCAACTAGGTAACTCGTACTGGGTATCTGCATTTCTGTTATACGAGAGCCTAAATACACTGTACAATCCCAAAAGTGTAAGATTCTAATTAAATACAATAGTTTTAAACATAAAACCTATTTTTATAATATGTATACTACAAATAAATGTTTACACTACATTAAAAATTCATCTGCTTATGTTTAGAAAATTTATAAAATAAAAATAAAATCATTCTGTAAGCTACCCTGAAACAGTGTTAAAGCCTTATTTATATACTCTTACATATAAAAATCACATAAATGTGCAAAGCTAAATGCACAAGGTTAAGTACTACCTCCTTCTTGATGTTAATCTTACCTATTTTACTTTATACCACAAATACAATTCTGAAAGTTCATTCTTTAAAATACTGTTTTTTCTTTAGAGAATTATTTATATATATGTGAACATTAGGAGCTCTGGTAGCATAGTGCCTAAGGCACTTGACTGCTAACCAGAAGGCTGGCGGTTCAAAGCCACAAGCCACTCCTCGGAAGGAAGGTTGGGCAATCTTCCGTAGTGATACTGCCTCAGAAACCCAAGGAGGGGTCACTATGAGTTAGTCTGACTCAATGGCACATAACAACAACATGTGAACATTTTTTCAAAGATCTTTAAAAATATTAAACTCTATAACCCTGCATTTCCTATTCACAAAACACGTGTTGCTTAATTTAAAGCAAACTTCAGTAATCCTTATATTTTAACATTATAGTATCTCAGATATTCTATGGAATGAATATAAAATAATTCAAGACAACTGTACTTAATACACTACTGGACAATGTTACTACGTGCATCTACTATTCATAGGAATGTCTATTTTTTCATGCATTTTGATTCTTCTTTTCCCTGAAGGGAAGAATGTCAGCTAAATCACCCTTGTTCAAGAGTGGAAAGTAGCCAATACCATGTACCAGGATTAAGTGACTAGTGCTATAGAAAGGATTAACATAATCAATTCATATGTTTCTATTTTTTAGTCCAAACTATGTTTTAATTCTTTGAGGTTTTTTCTTTAAAAAAAAAAAAAACCTTAAAAAAAAAGGCTCTGAATCCCTGTCAAAAAGACATTTCAGCTTATCAGATCACACCCTTACCCAATGTAATGTAACTATTCAAAAACTATGAAAGTTCAGTTAATGTTAGAAGTTGATTATGGAAAACACTTACAGATCTATTTACCTCAATATTTGTAAACTGAACCTAATTTCATAAACCAAAACTGTTAACCCAACTGAAAGATTTAACATCAACACTTCATCAGCAATCTACAGACAACCATGTTAATTTACATTTCAGAATAAATAAAACTTTTTAACAAGTCACTCAGTGCTTTGAAGTCTGACTCTGGAAAGTAACAACTGTACCTCACAGTTAGGACATTGTCATTAATGCTGTGATTTACTTTGATCCTTCTGACAGTAACTGTGCTTACCTTTTCAGAATTTGTAAAAACATCAGATTTCAATTCTCCATCTAGAAACTCATTAAAGTATTTCATCAGTTTCTGAGCCTCCACTGCCCGTTGTCTGGGTGTGTTTACCCCCTCCAACTGATCTCCAAGGTGACAGACCTTGGTAGCTACATAGCTAATGTGCTCATCTAGTTCTTGGAAATGCTGGAAGGCCACCTAGGAAAAATGTGCAGAAGCATAAAAAAATATCAGAGAACTTCAGTTTTTAAGTTAATAAATACAAAAATTAAACAACCAATCTCACTGCTACTCTGTTAGGTAACTAAGGATAATGTAGAACTCACATGAGATGATACCCAAAACAATTTACACTCAGCACATGATCTGAAAACTTTTTAACCAAGTTGCAAACTTCTATACTTTTAACTATTAAAATAATCGTATTTTATGATGAACACAATTGTTAATAAGCAAAACAGCAAAGCTATCATAGATCTTGTTTAACAGAGGACCTGCCATTTAGCCCTTAATAATGACTCGAAAAACAATAAACTAATATCAAAGGGACCTGACAAATGCTCTTGCTAATAGACCAAAAAAAAAAAAAGGTCAGAAGTACAAATAAACACTGATAAAAATTAGAGTATTTAACCAACATTTACATTAGTTATTTGAATAGCAATGCTAGTATTATACATAAAATTGCATTTTCCCAGTTTTGAAAACAGAATACTGGAGCAAACACTCTACTGAAGCGAAGGCACACTTCTTTCCAGAATATTCTTTCCCTTCTTTTAGGATACAGTGATTGTGCTACGTTAGATGAAAATCATGTGCAATGGATTCCTGAGAACTGTCAGTGACAAACTGCTGATAATTCAGCATGGTACCTTTGTTTTACCTTAAATTGCGTGTGGGGGATGAAGCTGCCATTACTTATTCAGGATTTTCTTTGCACTAGACACTGTTGTAAGTACATTACATGCAGTAACTTATGTAATCCTCACAACTACTGATTTAATAGATGAAAAACTGAGGCATAGAGCATTAAATTGTTTGATATTACATAGCTAATTAGGAGCTCTGGTGGCGTAATGCCTAAGGCATTTGATTGCTAACTAAAAGCCTGGCCGTTCAAATCCACCAGCCACTCCTTGGAAGGAAGGTCGGGCAATCTACTTCCTTAGTGATACTGCCTCAGAAAGCCAAGGAGGGGCTGCTATGAGGAGGATCTGACCGGATGGCAATGAGTTTGGTTTTTTTCTTTTCAATCCCTTATACTAAACAACTGGCCCCAGGGACAGCAGGGCTAAATAATGTTCATCAACCTGCATTTAAAAAGAGCAATCAAGTTCCTTCCAGACCAGGCCCAGGCCATCAAGTGATTCAGAGGTTCCAGATTAAGCATGGCCAACTTAACCTCAAAGGGTCCTTGTCATTGTTTGGAAGGTGCCATGGATTCAGTTCTAATTCACAGCAACCCAATATACAACAGAATGAAACACCGCCTGGTCCTGTTGCAACTACAGTGTCAATTTCATTGCATTGAGGGTCTTCCTCCTTTTTGCTCTCTACTTTCCAGGCATGATGCCCTTCTCCAGGGACTGGTCCTTCCAGATAACATCCAAAATACGTGAGATGAAATCTTGTCATTCTTGCTCCCAGAGTCCTTAGGTGGTGCAAACGGTTAATGTTGGCAACTGAAAGGTCAGAGATTCAAGTCCACGCGAGGGGCCATGGAAGAAAGGCCTGGTGACTTACTTCTGAAAAATCAGCCACTGAGAACTCTATGGAGCATAGCTCTACTCTGACACATGTGGGGGACACACTGGTACTTAACACCAGTGGTTTGGATTTACTCCAAAATGGTGTAGAATCCTCCAATTCTTTTTCCCAGCATTACACTCGAATTCTCATTGAGGCACACACTTTACGGCTTCTGTGAAACTTTGCAGACCAGATTTTCTCTGGTCCAGGCAAGAGTTGGTCCAGTGCTGTTTTGTTTCATGATTAAAAGAAAATGCAAATGCCTACCTAAAAATCCAAGTTAATAAAGAACACCTTAAAGTACAGGTCAGCTGAAGTACCATTCTTAAAAGTTCAGATTGTTCTAAGGAAAGAAAGGATCATGCTGAACTGAATTCTACCCTATCCTGAGAAGAAGTACTCTGGCACAAACCAACTCAGTAGCAAGCCAATGCCAGAAGTCTCTGTGTAACAGGTAACTAGCATTATATCCCCATGGTGGGCAGGGACAGAAACCTCAACAGTTAATATCATTTGACTAGATTTTTTTTTTTAAGAACTTAAAATTGGAAGGAAATACAGTACGGCCTATACAAATGATAAGGGAACTCTAGTGGCACGGTGGTTAATCGCTAGGCTATTAACTAAAGGTTGGCTGTTTGAACCCACCAGCACAGGAGAAAGATGTGGCAGGCTGTTTCTGTAAAGATTACAGCTTTGGAAACCCTATGAGGCAATTCTATTCTGCTCTGTAGGGTCACTACGAGTTGGAACTGACTGGACAGAAACAAGTGGTTTTTTGTTTTCAATACTAACTATGGAGCCTTTGGGATGCACCAATTGTTAAACACTCAACTACTAGTCAAAAGATTGGCAGTTCAAACCCACCTGGAGATGCCTTAAAAAGACAGGCCTGGCGATCTGCTTCTGAAAGGTCACAGCCTTGAAAACCCTCTGGATCAGTTCTATTCTGCACACATTGGGTCACCATGAGTGCAAATCAATTCAATGACAATTAACAACAACAAGCAAATTGTTAGAGTGTGGATTTGACAACTTCTGCTCTTATTGTAGTAGTATATTTTTAACTGATGATGACTTTGAGGGCTACTTAATGCTTTAAACAAAGGAGGTAGCCTTGGAAACTTTTTGGGGCAGTTCTACTCTGTCCTATAGGGTCGCTATGAGTCAGAATTGACTTGATGGCAGTGGGTTTGTTTTATTGGGTTTGTGCTTTAAACAATTTCACAAAGTAATTAGCTATGGAATTCAATAAAAATAGGTGTCATTTACTGCTATACTTCTTACTACATTCAGCAAAGTATGCAAAAAGCACTTAATGAGAATTTGAGGATCTCCAGCTCTTTAACTATAATAGAAACTATTCATTGTTTAGCATTACCTGATTGCTTTTCTGGAGCTCTTGTACCTTCTTGGCAAATTCCTTGGCTTCTTTCTGACACTGTTGTTCTAATTTCTCTACTTTCCTTTGGATCCTTTCATCCATTATTTGGAGTTCTTGAATATGATTTACAAATTCTTCTAATAATCTAGAAGAGGAAGGATATAATGTATATCAATTCATCCATGATTAATCATTAGGAACTGACCAGTTTACTTATAAATAAAGTCTTAAAAAGAGTTCCGTGAGCTACAAATGATCCTGTTAATTTTCTTTATAGCATCTTGTTAGGAATTTCTTCAATCAGTGAGACCTACCTATTACTTCATGACTTCATAGCTTTGTCTAGAACATATAGCTTTAAAACAGACATGACTTTTTAAAACACAGCCAGTTTTAACTATTCACTCCTCAATGAAGACATCTAAGGCAAATGAAAATCTCATCCAGAATCTCCATTAACTCCCAAAATAGAAATAATTTTTACAGTCTATTTAAAACAGTCAAGAAGTAAATGTACTATGTTCAAATAAAATGTGCATTCTAGGGTACAGTGAATTTTTGTTCACCTGACTTACAACCATATTTAAAATAACATTTTCAACATGTTTCTATTTTACAGGTATGACCAACTTTTTCTAACTTATTGCTAATTGTAGAAAAAAATAAAACTCTTATATTCCATAAAATCCGTTCCTCATATAGTTATAATGCTTTTCTAAAATAAAAAAAAGGTAAAAGTAATAACACAATCTCAAACTGTTAATGCTCAGTTTATACTGCAGGGTCTTTTATCGTCCAGGACCTCTGGCGGTGTAGTGCCAAAGGCCCTTGACTGCTAACCAGAAGGCTGGCGGTTCAAACTCACCAGCCACTCCTCGGAAGGGAGGTTGGGCAATCTACTTCCATAGTGACGCCGCCTGGGAAACACAAGGAGGGGTCGCTATGAGTCGGATCTGACTCCACAGCAGTGCGTTTGGTTTTGGGTTTTCATTGTCCAGGCGTTAAGCTAAAATCCCTTTACATGAACACTGAAAAGGAATCCCAATAATCACCTGCATTACAAACGTCAATCTGTACTCAACTGAATCTATTTAAAACAAACAAACAAACATGTTTTTTACTTCACCTTTTGGGATCAAACGCTTCAGCTCCCCCTCTAGAGCCTCCTCCAGGGGTTCTCCATACAAGACGTTCAATATATTCATCCGCCACAAACGGCTCCTAGTTCACAAATACATTTTTCAAAGTTTCATAGAAGACAACTAGTACAGTAGTACGTACTACTTACAAAAGTACAAGAGTTCTCTTATGTGAGACTTTTAAAATGAAATCAAATTACTAGTTATTCATCTATGTAAATGTTTCTTTCAATTAACTCTTCAGTAAATGAAACAAAGTACTTAATAAAATTAGCATATCAGTACAATCTTAATGACCAGTTAGAACACTCCAACAGAAAAATGAGCAAAGGTCACAAACAGACAACTTATTAAAAAACCACAAATGCCCCAAAAAAGATGTAAATATGCAGCCTCACCTTGAGATCAAATTATTACTTTTTTAAAAAAAACTTTGCAAACTGACATTTTTTTTTCTCTCCTGCAGTGCAGGAAAGAGTAAGCTAAAATGTGTACTCTAATTTTTGTCAGAAATGTTAATTATCTTTTGGATGACAATTTGGTAAAATGTAGCAATTGTATTAGAAATGCTCATTTACTCTAATGCTAACTAGAATTTAAAGTAATTCTAAAGGAAAACCAGACATGAACACAAAATTTTTGTAGAATGTTTGACTCATTATAAATGACTAATACACACAGTTACATATTTTGCAACCTAGCTTCTTTAATGTAAATGGATGTGAAATATTGTCTCAACTTAGTAGCATGTACCTTATATTATTGCATTCAAATTCCAGTTTGAATTTTTGTATCTGTAAAAATTTCCATTTGTTACTATCTTGAAAACATATTTTCACTGATAAACTTGCATACAACAAATGAGTTCCAGTGCTAAGTACTCTATTAGGCTCTGGAATAAAAAGATGCATGAAACCCAGACTGCACCCTGAGAAACTCACAGCCTAAGAGGAAAGAGAAATACAAATAAATAATGCAAGAATGTGTGAGAAGTAAAATTTAAAACATGTGCACAAACTTCAGTATTAATATAAACCACACCCATGGATGCGGCAGTTAAGAAATCAAACAACTTATTGAATTGGGCAAATCTGCTGCAGAAGACCTCTTTAAAATGTTAACATGCAAAGATGTCACTCTGAGAACTAAGGTGTGCCTGACCCCAAGCAATGGTCTTTTCAACCGCCTCATGTGTGCAACAGCTTGACAATGAATAAGAAGATGTAAGAAGAAACGATGCCTTTAAATGACAGTGTTGGCAAAGAATACTGAGTATACCGTAGACTGCCAGAAGGATGAATAAATCTGTCTTGGAAGCACAGTCAGAATGCTCCTTAGAAGTGACAATGGCAAGACCTTGTCTCATGAATTTTGGACATATTATCAGAAGGGACTAGTCACTGGAGAAGGACATCATGTTCAGTACACAAACAGCAAGAGGCCGGTGTTGTGTGACCTCTAACTTCACAAGAGGGAAGGCGGATCCAGAAGAACTCAACAACCCAAGGCTGATTCCTATGAGACAGAAGTCAGACATGCTGCTACCCTCCAACCTTCTTGCCAACTCTGATACCAACTGCTCCTCTCATGGTACTCTCTACTTCTCTGCTGGGTTCAATAATTTATTGCAATGGCTGCAAAGAACTCAGACAATCCTAACCGTTATGGGGTTTATTAGGAAAGTAACAGGTTACAATTCAGGTTCAAGAATGCTCAGCATACAATTCTTTGATTAGGAAGGCCTCCCCTGGACCACGCACACAGGCACACCTCTCTTTTAGCCCTGGACCTGGCCTCTGCCACACTCCAGCAAGTGTTACAAAGTTCATTTATCCCAAAAAGGTACCCCATTCCACCAGCAAGCCTCCTACTCGAAGGTACTCAGCATTCTTGCTCTGGGGGCTGGGAGGCCTGTTACCCCTCTGCTGTCTCCCTGCTCTCTCTATGCAGGGATCTCAGGTCCAAGTACACGCTCCATTCCTGGTTCTTCTCTCTTGATGGTAGTGAGTGAGATCTCCCATTTCTGTCTCCAGGATCGTAAAACTGACCAATCCCCACATTAGGGTCACATACATGTGATTTGCATGGCCCTACCCCACAAGGGTGTCATGTACTGTATTTACATTATTAGCAAGCTATCCAATCCCCTTGGTGGGCTGCAAGCCCCTCACATTTGCATAGTCCCAGTCATCTGATGGGAGTCACAAAGACCATGGCTAGAAGAGCCATATTAAGTAATTCAGTGCACCACATTTGATAAAGCAGAGTGTCAGTGAAAAAGAGGATTCTCAATGAGATGGATAGACACAGTAGCTGCAACAATGGGCTCAACTAAAGCAACAATTTTAAGGATGGTACAGGATCAGGCAGTATTTTGTTCTGTTGTACATAGGGTTGCTATGAGCTGAAAACAACTCAAAGGCACCTAACAACTACAACAAAGTGAGTTTTTAGTTCAGTAGAGAGTTGGGGAATGGAAATGCTTATTCATTAATTAAGGTATTTACTGAGCCCCTTCTATGTGCTGGGCATTGTAAGAGGCACTAAGGTACAAGAAAAATTCAAAAGACAAGGTCCCTTCAAAGATCTCATAGAAATGATCTTGTAAGTAGGACTATCGATATAAAACAAGTAGGAATATCAATATTAAACAATGGTGCTGTTGTTAGTTGCCACCAAGTCCAATCTGACTCATGGTGACTTGTCACCTCTGGCCACACAGGATTTCTAATTACAGAAATAACTAATTATAAATTGAGGGAAAGAAAAGTCCTGGTTACTACAAAAGTATGTAACAAAAGAACAGAGGTGATGAAAGATGGGGAGAGATGAAAGAAAACTGGCAGGGAGAGGGGTGCACAACAAGCAAACTTTCTGAGAAGGGAAATTTAAGATGATACCTGAAGGAATAAGGAAAAAATCAACTAGCCAAAAATAGAGCCAATAGTTTTACAGACCATAAGAGGAAGAGAAGATAGAGCTTAACTAATTAAAGAAACTAAGATGCATGGACCAGATGACAAGAACTATATTACGTAAGGATCCAAAGAAGAGAGACAATTAAGATCCATAAATCATAACCATGTCCTCCTCAACATACTGGAATTTGAGAGAATTGTTCACCAAGCTGATAAGTTGATAGGAGGAATGAGAGGATATATTTCAGTCAGAGGGCCCATCAGAATAAGAATAAGAATACCAACAAGAATAACAGTTAACATTATCACTTCATAAGCACTTCACATGCATTATTTCATTTAATTCCTCAAAGAGGGAAGGTCCTATAAATTGATAAATACTGACTCAGAAAAAAAGGAATTTATGTTTAGAGCTAAAACAAACTTTAGAAAACTTGATCAGCACACGAAATCCCTCTAAATGGTGAGATATTGATGATAGCTAATCTTTTTTAAATGTTTACTATGTACCAGGCATGTACCTAGCACTACGCATTTAATCCTTACAAGCCTACTTTGTTAGGTTCTATAGATTCATTTTAGGCCTGTGCAATCATGTCACATAAAAACGTTATTTAATGGAAGATCACATAGACCACAAGTGGCAGATTTATCTGACTTTGAAGTTCCATTTCTTAACTACTTGTAAAATCAACATCTTTTTCTTTAAAATCAAGGTTATTTACAGACTAAATTATTTTAGGAAGTAGTCAGCCCTTCCAAAAGTCTATGATACTTTCATTAAATAACTTCATGCAGTTATCATGTTTCTTTTTCTTAACTTTTTTTTTGATACATACTTTGCAAATACTTAATCTCAGTTTTCATGTATTATTAATTTCATTTATTAGTTATTGAATAGTGGCAATTTTCAACTTAACAGCTATAATGCTCATTAATTTCAATGTATCAGCATTATTAAATTATGTATGTCCATAAACGTATTAATTTCATTTATTAGTTATTGAACAGCTGTAGTTTTCAATTCAACAGCTATAGTTGAATAGCCGAGATAGGCAGGCACTGAGCTCGTGGGCTCCTTTTCACTTGGGGCGGCTCTATTTTAAGGTTGTCACCCGGGTAGGTGGGCGTGGGACTGAGGGCTGCTTTTTACTTGGGGCGGCTCTATTTTAGGCCGGCACCCGAGGTGGGTGGGCATGGGGCTGGAGGGGGGCTGTTTTCACTTGGGGGCAGCTCTATTTTAAGGCCAGCCCAAGGTAGACAGGCACAAAGCTGTTACAAACAACTAAGGGAGATGAACTAGTCTGTCAATTTGTCATACAGTGGTGGCTTACATGTTGCTATGAGGCTGGAGGCTATACCACTGGTGTTGCAAAATGCCAGCAGAGTTACATGTGGTAGAAAAGTTTCAGTGGAGCTTCCAGGCTAAGATGAACTCAGAAAAAGGAAGAGGCCATCCACTTCTCTAACAATTGGCCAGTGAAAACCTTATACATAGCAGTGAAACACTGTCTGATATATTACCAGAAAATTTTATGAATACTCCTGGAACACTGTCCAATCTAGTGCCAGAAGATGAGCCTATCAGGTTGGAAGGCACACAAAGTTTGACTGGGGAAGAGCTGACTCCTCAAAGTAGAGATGACCTTAATGATATGGATAGAGTAAAGCTTTTGGGACCACCATTGGCTGATGTGGCACAAACTCAAAATGAGTAGAAACAGATGCAAACATCCACTAATAATCAGAACATGGAATGTACGAAGTATGAATCTAGAAAAATAGGAAGTTGTCAAAAATAGAATGCATAAAGATCAACATCCTGGGCATTAGTGAACTGACATGGACTGTCATTTTGAATCAGACAACCATATGATCTACTATGCTGGGAAGGACAAATTCAAGAGGAATGGTGTGACATTCATTGTCACAAACAGTGTTTCAAGATGTGCCTGAAGTAAAATGTTGTCAGTGATAGGATAATATCCACAAACCTACAAGGAAGACCAGTTAATACTACTATTATCCAAATCTATGCACCAACCACCAAAGCCAAACATGAGGAAACTGAAGATTTTTATCAACTTTTGCAGTCTGAAATTGACCAAACATGCAATCAAGACGTATTGATTATCACTACTGGTAACTGGAATGCAAAAGTTGG